GCCTCCAAGTAAATCTGGTTAGTAGTGGTTCATAGTGATAGCTGATAGTTGGTAAATGATAGTTGTAATTAGTGACAACTGATAGAAACTGCAACGGCTAATCATTTCATTGGCAGAAAACATTCACATTTTGTGAAGGCGTCGTCACTTGTGGTGTGTGGTCTGCACTCGACGCGCTCCTGGTTTCTTGAAACAGAGAGTAATTTACCTTTTCGACCTGGATTTATTTCTCCTCAAGCTACAGAGCTCATAGTCAGTTCGCTCTCTGACTTCGAGAGCGAAGTTTACAAGTTGGATAAATCGCTGGTTGTTGACTACTTTTGCTCAGATGCGCCATGCATTTGAACTTCAATGAGAAACGTGCTGGCAATGGGGTGTGGTGTCTATTTGGTTTATAGAGGGGAGGGGGAAGGTTTGCCACTCGAGTCAAAATCAAAGATTGCCGAAATTCTTCCTGAAACACGATTTTGAAAAGGTGAAGGGCTTGCTGAGGCTTGTTGTCTGATGGTGAGCGATTCGAATAGTGTGATAATCCTTTCGCCATCAAGCTTTTTTGGGATACGCCATGCATTCGCCTCTTGTGGGTCTCCAAACGAAATTTGTCTTCTGCAATTATACTTCAGAAGGCCTATCTATGAGCCATCGTTTTCTCTCTCCCGGGAGAGTCCAGTACAAAATTACCGACCACGGGGAGGTGTATGATAGCCAGCGGACCCTGCGACTGTGCGGGATTAACGCTAGGGGAAGAAGAAGGAGAGGTGTATGATAGCAGCTGGCGGAATTGATCCTTGGTTGGAAAGAAATACCGTGGGCGTATTCAGCTACGCCACTTTCCACTACACCACCTTCGGCCGTAAAGGAAGTACAGTAGCGGTCAAAAGTGTTCGCCGAAACGATTTTTAGTGCATTATTTTTTCTCGCTTGAGCAACGCCCTCCAAAGATTGATATACTATGTTTTCTAGTGTTTTTATATCCTCAAGTCTTAAAGAATCAGGATATTCAAAAGAAAAAAATTTCGAGGTCACCATTGATTTTTTTCTGGCAAAAAAGAGAAGCACGAAAACCGTTTCGGCGAACACTTTTGACCGCTACTGTATATTGTACTGCTTTGAAATCGTAAGGTGTTACTGATGATTAGATTCTCCATTTTCGTGCTATGCATTCCCAAGAGGTATTTTTCTAAAAATTTTGCCTCCCTCTGTTACGACGATATTATCATCTTACGAATTGTGCACGTTCGATCGAATTGATTTTTCACTCACATAATCGACCCAATCTCGAGGAAAGCTGGGCAGATAAATAAGGTCCATTACCGGCCTGCTTAGCAAGGTGTACTGGATTGTTTGATCATTGAGTCGCTCAAAGGCACCGATGTTCACGGATGGTATTGAGGCGGGTGAACGGTTTCGATGACTGTCACTGAATCTGGCTGACGGTGTAGGCCACTCAGAAAGTTAGAGGGGGAGAGGCGGAGGGGAGACTTCCTAAGATTTTTCTCTGAATCGGTCTCAACATCTTGGCCTAACACGGCTCAGCGCCCTCTCATTTGTCCCACTTCTCAGCCACTCGTTCTTCTACGAGCTGCGGTAAAAAGTCTCTGCCGAACGATTTGCGTTGCTTTGATTTTCCTTGCCTTACCGAGGTCCCTCCAAATTTGGGCATGTCGTGCCTTCTGGTTCTTTGGAATCTCTGAGTTCTAAGGATTCAGGGCGATTGGAAGAGAAATCTCTATTTTTTCGAGAAAAAAATGTTACGCATGAAAAACCGTTCCGGCGACACTTTTGACCGCTACTGTAGCTCCTTATAATATACACTTCATTTTGTTTGACAACAAACCTCTGGAAATTCTGTATATTTTATATATAGCTCAAACTGTTCAGCATCAAAATGCTCAGGTTTCAAGAAAGGCGGACATGGAGAATCAAACTCCTATATTTCGCTCAAATGACTTCCTTACCAAATGTAATTAAGTTGGACGCCCGGCAGTATTAGAAAGAAATTTCACGCCCAGAGGCCTAACTGGAGCCGTAGTGAAGTGTGCTTTGTGGCTTCACCTTCCACAAAATTACAGTTGAAAATTTCTCTGTTCCCCCAATACGGCCTGTTTCTCTATTCAACCATCGAATGCCAAGCGCATTAATGTGTTGAAGCGGTCAGAGGATCTCTTTGAGAGGCAACTGAGCCGTAATAATCGGTCAAACGTAATGAGTTCATAATGATAGCGATTATGACAGTTGGTGGTCACACAGCCAACAGGTGAGCTGATCATACAATTAGCCAGGAATTGAAGGACAAAAAATAAATGGAAATGTTCCGGTTAGCCTTTAAGTATTGGTATCGGAAACATGTCGATGAGGCACACAAATTCAACTAGGAAATACGAGATAATTTTTGACGTTTTTGTACCAGTCGGGTTACCTCAAAATACGCCATGTATTCGAACTTTGTTCAAAATCGCAGCGTCATTCAAGTGTGGATCGAGACTGGAAGATTTTAAAAACAATGTTCAGCTGTTCTCCTCATAGTATAAAGCAGTCGCATCAGTAGTTAACATTTGCGAGAGTTAGAAGACCATTCAGACCATGACGGTCCAGTGGGATACCGTCGGCTTTTATGGTTAGGTCAGCCCCGCCACGCTTAGAGTTGGAAAGTGTTCATCGTTCATATCGAAATGGAGTTAGTGCATACTGAAGCGCATTGCAAGAACCAACCAACTGCAAGAACTATCTGGCTTCTCTGAGAGGACTAAAATTTCTGAAACTGTGTGTGTTCATGAAAATCGTCAATTATGCGTAAAATTT